CCAAAAGTACCTGACCAGGACTACTCCCGTCAAAGGGTCCCGTTCTCCAGATCCAATCCCCAAGTTTCCCTCCGTCAACTTCGGGATAAGCCTTGTCAATTGGTGTCTAAGAGGCGTCCCCCCAAATTCGAAGCCCCCGGAGCATGTGCCGAATCAGGAATCTCGAACTTGGGGAACATGGCCCAGGAAGGGAGGTACTGAACTTCAGTATGGATACGGATATTTCGTATCTCGACCTCAACCAAATGACCAAAGGGTATGCATCACCTGGGGGCATTCGTGTCTTTGCTTGTACAGTTGGGCTGTCATACCCTCAACTTGAGTGGCTCTTTGCTTGTCCTTGCACGCAAATATACTAGGGGCGTAGTAATCAATGACTCAACAGACTGAAACATCAAACCTTAAGCTCTCTCATGAAGAGATCTCCACCTGCTGCAAATCATATCCCCCAATATTAAGTCGCTTCCAATTTCCGACATGTCAAAGAGAGACACACGGACGGTACGGAGTACTCGGCGGGAACACAGCCTTGCCTGAATCATGGCCAATGCTGAGCCGTTACATGGCCCTAGTCATGTAGACGAAGACCAATGTGAGCAATGGGGGATTTTCTCGGCAGCGGCGTCGTTGCCAAATGCCCAGACAAAGACCAGCTCACTTTTTTCCTCGGCCGAGGAAAGAAATGGGCCATATCATGAACAACCCTGGGGTCCAGAGTTTATGTCCGGGTCTGGTGTCGCTGTGTACTGTACATCCGAGCGAGTGAGGATGAAGGCAGTGAGAGTTGAATGGATGAGCGAGCTTATCTCTGAAATGCAGAGGAGATAGAAATACATAATGGCAAAAGATAAGTTAAATCAAGAAAAGAGGAACCCCCCAGCCTTCAGAGACATTTTTCTGCATAACCACAGATGCCAGCTTTGAACACCATCTCGAGAGGAAACCTTGAGCTTGAAAGGTACAGTGTACACAAAACCACCGTGTAAATACAGTCAGATGTCAAGTATTCCATACCAGCTGACCAAGGGCGTCCCTCTGAGCCCATTACCAAATGGAAAGCCATCTATGAGCTTGTCTTGCCTCATTCTGCATGGTCCGGCAGTTGTTTTAACGTAATGGCTCGTCCGGGGTTGATTTACCGCCGCAGTCAAACAAGACGTTGTCATGTACCCTCTCACTGCGTATGTATGTTAGCGGCTAAAATAACCTTTTGTCTCATTGGCAAAATTCCCGAGGTTCCTTGCTGTTGGATTCGCTCGTCGTGATATGCCTCATCAGCTCCCAAAACACCGCAAATCTCCCCTATCTGCTCACTTTTGGCACCACCGGCTCTATATCAGACCCGGTGCCGCCGCCGGCTACTGGGACGAATCCGAATTACCCCGATGCTCGGTTCACAGCATGTAAACTCGGTGAAGCGTTTGCCAAAATTAACCTGTCATCGTTATCTCCAGCTGCCAAGTGATGATCTTCTCGTCCCTCTTTGATGGCAACGGTTCCTGGAACAAGAAAGCATTAGTCATGTAATCCGCATTTTCATTCTGCCAAACCTTTACACAGATTTCGGAGTCGTTGACATGGGCCCCGCACGCGATAGTTTCTTCCTAGATCTATCTGCTCAGAGTTCATAGTTGTCAACATAACTTCAGATCCCTTGGAACAAATACGCTTTCTATGATTGGTCCATAGAAAGCCCTCCCATCACGATCCGAAAATGTCCCTTGTCCTGTCCCTGATCTTGGCTCAACAGAGAATCGACCCCTGTGCCGTGGGGGCTACAGGGGAACGTTGCCGGTCCCGGCTCATCGCTACGCACGGGCCAATTTATCGAGATCCATCAAACACTGCTTCTAGGGCGAGCGATATCTTGAGCAAGAGCGTCATTGTTGGGTCCGGAGCTTCTGTCATGGTAGTTGTGGCTTTGTTGATGTGGTGAGATGCAAGACCAGCTACACTATGTGACCCGCTATACCGACCGATAACGGTTCCAACCTCTCCGTCCAGTCCGAAGCTCTGCTTCGACTTACAACCTCTGTTGATGTCATGTCGGAGGTGTTGAGTCAAAGCTCAGCGTTAAATTGCCCTTAACGTTTTGCCACGTGAGTGTGGAGACGATTAGCGACAACGTTGTGGCCTCGTGAGTGTAACTCTTTATGGCTTTCAGTCTCGTGTCCAAACCATGACCCTCTCTTCGTAGTTTTCAGTTGGTTCATCTGAGCCACGAGCTGGGAGCAGCATATTTAGCTCTTCTCGGATCTGGAAGCCATGTTTTTGGTAAAACGAGACCGCATTCATGGTAGCCTCGAGAATAACTGGTGCATTCTCCTTGGAGGCCTCAGCCTGCACTCGACGAAGCAAAGTCGACGCAGCCCCTCGGCCATTGAACTTGGGATCTGTGCATAGATATGTCACATCTAGGAAATGTTAGTGCCGAGTGACACATGGCCAAGATAGCTTCGACCAAATTTCAACAACATAGGTATATAGCGGTCAAGGTTAGGTCGTCGATATCCGGGCCTCCACTCAGCAGCAAATAACTCACGGTAGTAAGTCTTGTCACCCAGGACCTTGTCTCTCTTACTCTTAGTAAGATCCGCGTAGGGGCCAAGGTATTGACGGCGGCAGAAGTCTGGGAACTCATCATCATCGGCTTCCTCTTCTTCTTCCATTTCTCGCGACCGCTGTTGCCGCTGAACGTTCCACTTAGCGAAACTCGCTATTTTCCCGGTCTTTGGGTCGCGTGCAACGAGGACACCCTTGTCGCCGCTTTGGACATGATCCATAGTATCTCTAAAAAGCCAGCCTCGGAAAAATTCCTTGCTCTTAGGGTTGGGAAATTGTGCGTGCATCAACAGGTTGATGTCCATGGCGGCAAAGAAGGTGTCGGTGACACCAGGGGCCTCTCTCTCAGAAGGAACTAAAATATCGAATGCCATCTTTGTTACGTGATGTGCCGTGAAGGTTGCTTAAAGAAAGCGGAAGTGAAGAATAGAAAGTGGAAAGTTATGAAGTCGGAATTGGCCAACCAGAAACCTCACGATATCGATATCGCGTTTGTGGCTAGGCCTGGGGCACGTGACAGTCTGAGTAAGTTTCTTAATCTTGGTATCCCAGAGCTCTTGAATCTATAGTTTTAGTTCTTCGAAGCCTACTGCACAGTATCTCTTGTATTCTGAGTGTTGGGTTTCTATCGCTATCGCTTGAATTCAGGGGTGACACAATACTCGAGCCTGACCAGTTCTGTTCAAGGCACTACCCACTCGATATCCTTGATAGTATCATCATGGTTAAGTTACTGCTATCAAGGCCCTGTTCACGTATTTTGGGGCATAAAATAGTGTAAATGTGCCCCAAGTTGACTTGTAGACTCGTGTTGTAGACAGTTCTCCTACTAACAGCTTGGCCTATATGCACTATCTACCCATAGAACGAAAACAAAAAAGGGCAACGTCTTTGTACTATAATTTGAAATCTAACCTTTCTTGAGATTCGGGGCGTCCCAACTCTTCTTATGTCTTTCAAAACTGTTTCTCAATGTTTGGGGCTGCACCTCATCGGTCGGTACGACGGCGTGTTGAAATAACTGCTACGCAAAGTCGTCTATTTCGGTAGAACCAGTGCTTTATAATGGTTTATACGTTCCTTTCTAGCTTTAATGGTATTGACTAAAGTCTAACGCGGTACCCCGTTGATCTAAATACAGAGGCGGCACACAGCTTAGAGCCAGGGGTGACAGCTCGTTCACACAGCTCGGGAATATCTTTCCAGTCCTTGCCTGTCCATTTTCGTCTCCGTGACAACTGTTTTCCTTTGCGCTCTTATTTCAAGTAAACTGAACGGCTATTCATTGCTGTATAGAAATAGCCGAACTTGCCATCGCTAGAAGCCGATACTATCACGTACAAAGCAAAAGTTTCCTGTAACGGTCTCGAAACATATAAAGCAAATCTTGGAAGGTTATCAAAACATGGAAATCTCCTGAACTGTTCCTTATACCTCGTGAGCTAGGAAGAAAACCAATCATAAACTTGTGACGGGCAGGTCTCGGCCAGATACCGGCCAGATACACAATGTTATAGGCATATAGTTGCTTCGGGCGGAAGTTGATTGAGACTATTGAATCGTTGTTGATTCACAATACTGGCATCCTATGAAAATAAAACTTACTGGTCTCTATAAAACTTTGATTGCATGTGCCATAGTAGTATTGCCAGTCCAGCAAGCTTTCCGCCATGCACTTGAAGGACATGAATTTCCTAAATCATGTTACTTTGACTTAACCAAAGTGAAAATAACACTACGAGATCTTGGGTGAGGGAATCAGTCAACCAGAACACAGGGGTCCAGTCCGGGCAACAATCTCGACGTTTGGGGGATCGACGCACAAGATGATTGGACAACTATGCCATGACCTGAGCTAGGGGGCCTCGAATGACTTCATGTTGAAGGAGTAGTCAAGTAGCCAATTGACTATATTTCGAATCTCTCACATCAGAAGTGAGAAGACATGAGCTTTTGGTTCGTATAGGCCCAGCTCGAGTTATATCCCTGAAGTTCGGCCTTCACGTAGCAACGACAACAAGTGGCATATCTTATTGCAAATTCTCTTACCACTTTGCATGGTGTTCTAGATCCTATTTTATCCAGAGTTGGTACGGATTGTCATTCAGTAATGCAGTCTAGACAGAGTTACCTTGCGTGAAGCACTTCAGACCTTCTAGTGCACCAGTTGCGGCGTCTTTTTAACAGACATCTTGATATCACATCACACATACGGAACGAGTACCGGATGTACTAGACAAAAGGGGCCGCTACATGGCAACTATAGACCTAGTCTGGCGAAAAAATACAATCATGACTCCCCGAGTCTGCCAGGGATTAAAATTACTTAAAAGAATTTGTGCGGTTTGCTAGTGGTCCCTTATGATGAGCCGCGGTCGAGCATGCTAGCCCGCCGACGGCAGATATGATAAAATGAAACGCCGATGATGGCCGGGTATTTAGACAGGAGGGTTGAAAGAAGGAAGCTTGTTGGCACAAGCGGCGACAGCCTTGAGGGCCTTGGCGTTGGTGAGGGCAACAGCCTTGGCGGGCTGGGTGCGAGGAGTACCGTAGACGGGGAGGTCATCCTCGGCGGCAGGAGGAGTGTAGGCAACATCGTCGAGGCTGAGCTTCAAGCTGGGGACGGTGCTGATGTCAATCTTGGAGCCGTCGAGCTTGACAATCTCAACCTGGAGGCCGCTAGTGACGGCATCGGCAACCTTGGTAGGAGAGCAGGCAGCAAGAAGCTGAGGGGCATCGGCAGCCTGGTCAGCGGAGAAGGAACCGTGGATGATACCTTCAGCAGGCTGTCGCATAACGACGAGACCACCAACGAGCTTTCCGGAGACGTAGACGTTGACCTGAGCAGGTCGCTCAACCTCGGTGACATCGAGCTGGACGTTGGCAAAGTAACGGGTGGTGTTGGCACCAGCACGCTCCTCAATCAGGCCACGCTCCTCAACATCACGACGGCGGGAAGAACCGCTGCCATAGAGACGGTTGATGGTGGTTCGGGCGGAGCTAGAGAGCTGGCTAGCAGACATGTGCCAGTACTCGAGTCCAGCGTAGGTGTAACCGAAACCCTTGATGCTCTTAACACTGTCAGAGGTGTGGAAGTTACCCCTGGATTTGTAGAAGGGGTTGAGAGGAGAGCTGGGAGTGATGCGGGTGCCTTGGGGAGTAGAGTAACGGGCACCACCAGAGTAAGAACCGGTGAAAGTAGACTGGCTAGGGTGCATAGCCTGCCAGTAAGCCCAGAGACGGTCGACGTTGGCGTGGTGCAGCCAGAAGATGGGGTCAAAGCCAGAGAACTCGGTGGCGAGGAACTGGCCGGCGCAAGAAGCATCCCAGTGAATGGCGTTGTGAATCTGCTCGAGAGAAGCACCGTTGGCACCGGTGGAAGCGAACTGGTTGAAGGTGGTAGGTCGGGTCATGACATCGTAGACCCATTGCTTGTAAGGTCGCTGGCGGAGGAGCTTGTTGGCACTTGAAGGGAAGCTATCGGGAGCGGGGCAGTGGTAGATGCGAACGCGGTGCTCGTCGTCCCATGATCCGTACTTGTTGTTGAGGGCGTCCTTGGGGAAGTTGTAAGTGTAAAGAGGGTTCTTCATGTTGATGGTCTTGAGGCCGCTGCCGTTGGGAACCTTGACGGCGACATTCTGCTGGGTGAGGATAGCGGGAATGCCATCGAGGGCCCAATCCCAGTATGCAGCACGCAGGTTGTTGGCCGCATCAACGTACTGCTTGCGGTACTTGGAGGGGTAGAGGTTGGCAAGGCGCTTGGCATGCTCGACGAGGATCTGCTCGTAGAGCAGAACGTAGGGACGGTGCCATGTCAGGAAGATGCTCTCACCGTGAGGGCAGTATCCGGGCCAGCCATTGCCGCTTCGACCACCACCACCGTTCCACTGAATGAAGGGCTTTCCGTGAATACCGCCAACCTGGAAGTAGGACTTCCAGTCAGTCTCCTTGGCATCGTACATGGAGCGGACGGCTCGCATATAAAGGTCCCTAGTGTTGAGATTAGCATTGGTCGTGTTAGCAACCACACGGCAGGCTTACCAGGCGGGGCCGCCAGCTTTCTGCATGTCATTGATGTTCTTTCGAGCAGGAACAGCAGCTCCACCAGTGACGGGGACACCAGTAACGAAGATGTTTTGCTGCTGAGCCTCGACGGGGTTGACACCGCCGATGACCGCGAGAGCGGCGACTAGGAACTTGCCCAGCATGATGATTGTCCTGAAAAATAAAACGAATGTATTCGAACAGAAGTCGTGCGTCAATGTACGACTTTGCTTGCTCAAGAAAAAGGACAAGATCGGAGAGGGAAGTGGTTAAGAGTGTGGGAAAGCGTCCGAGATATAGTCAACCCTGAGAGCCATGGCCACGGCAACAAGACGGGGGGGTGTGAAAGAGAGGGCTGATGGCTATATGGCTATGGCAATGGCTCTGGGAATAGGTCATGATCCCTTCTCCGCATCCGAACCTCCGTCCCAGCTGTCAATCATCGTCAAAGGGGTTCGTAACGCCCCTCATAGTGGTCCTAGATGACAAGGGGGAGGGGGTGCAAAGGTAGGGCAAAGATCGATATTCCATGGGATGTGTCCACTGAGGCACTGACGAGGAGTTGAGAGTTGCAAGGAGAGGAGCACTGAGCAGTGAGCGATGAATGAGCTAGGAAGGTGTGGGTGAAATTGGGATATGACCCATGCACATGGACAAGCCAGGGTCATGGTCACGTATCCAATGTTGTTCATCTCTCATCTTTTCTGTGCTTAGTAGCTTGTTCGCTCGTAACGCCACATTGGATGGATCAACGTCTGTGTCCCTGGCGATTCCCTAGACCTGTCAAATTGCCTACGCGTCAATTATCCAGACATTAGTCGAGACATTATCAAGGAGAAAAAAAAGGCAATCCTTCGGTAGGATCCAGTGCTGATGGTAAGAAACTTTGTCCGTCCTATGGCACGTCGTATTCGATGGTTGTGAAGAGACCGACCAGTAGACAACAGGGGGGACAAGATCCCAGGCCAGGCCAGCCCAGGCGAGCGGTACAATTGACCACAGCCCTGCTTCTGGGCTCTTCCAGCGGTTGGGGAAGCTGGAGGTTGGAGTTGCTTGTGCCTGGTGAGTGGGCCAGGCTAAGGCAAAGGTGGTAGTGGGCCTGTCGCTCAGCGGCACGACACGACACGACACGATACCCAGAGGACAAAGGGATTGTTGTGGTTAGGGGGTACTTTGCTCGGACACCTTGTATAGGTGAAATGCCGAGGTACCGAATGTAAATTGCAATCTCAGACAAGATGTAGCGTAGCGCCCAAATGGGCTCCCTTGGCGCGCTTAGAGCCTGTACCTGAAATTCTAACATGGCTTGCATGCCTAAATTGGTCCCGGCTGGGGATGAATTCTGTGAGGATTGGATGTGAAGAATCACGAGCGAATGTGAATTATTTCCTGAAAGAGCTGAGCTCAACGGCGACAGTCCTAGACGCCCAGCTCAATGAGGCCACAATAATAGCCACAACTACCACATACATACATCCAAACAACCACGGGTGACTCCAGGCCTATCGCTAAACTGTCGACAACGTAGCATCTAGGGACTCAAAATTAAATTGATGCCAAGAGTGAAGCCGCCCCTACCCAGCAAAGTCTACTCCTCTCTGGCAGCCCAGGCCCAGGCAAGGTACAGGCCGGCACCCGGCACCATGAGCACACCCTGGGCCAGGTCATGACATGATTGCTCGGAAGATACTAAAAAAGGATCACCAGCGCGATGCGCTCTGACATAACAGCCTATCGCAGGTGCAGCTGAAGTTGCGTTTGGGATTGATGATTGGCACAAGGGGCATCAGCCGCTTTCCGGGAACAACTCACGATGCGTCAAAACTACGTCAGGCACTATTGATTATTATTCCGAACAATTATTAATATCCATAGCACAATGATCAGCGTTGGTGTTGAGGGAAAACAGATCCTCCTCGATCCTCTCGGGCTGCCAGGCAGGGATTGTGGTCCTGTACAGAGAGGCAAACCTGGACGCCCCGGATCTAGACGGAGATGCCGATTCGATCGGGACAGAGACGAGCGTGTAGCAAAGAAGTGGGAAATAATCGGCTCAGTTATACGAGGCTCTCATCTGTGGTGCGTATACGGGATGGTTAGGTAAACCTGATACATGATAAACTGGTGTGCATGTCCAGGAGGGAAACAAACGGAGAAATTATCTCTCTGGTCAGATCAGATCAGAACCAGAATCAGATGCAATCACAGAAGGCCCTCTTGCTTCTTCAGGTCAGCTCGTTTGCCTGTTTGTCTAGCTACCTAGGTACCTGAGGCAGTCCCATCACATCCATATTTGGCCGTCTTGTCTTGTTAATAGACAGACTTGTTGGACATTGATGAAAAAGCCCTTTGGGCCTTTTTTTAGCATCATGACGGGTTAATTACGGTCTCGGTCCTCGTGGTTCGTCCTCACCGTTTAAGCTAGACCCAATCTCCCCCAAGCGGCTTCTGCTAAGATGCGAGCCTTGGGAAATCCACCCAGTCATGAAACAGCCACCCGCTCGATTCGTGCATAATGGTCTGCCCCTAGACTTGCAATAGTCTAGACGGCTGAAAGAAACTAGTTTGCTAGTCTTTTGCACTGGCCAAGGGGCGGAGGCGGCAGCCTTTTTGTTCCCTCAGCAGGCTCACGCTCACCAGAGCCATGGGCCGTTGTCCGAAAAAGCCATGTCTCAGTAAGGGGCAATTTGCACTAAGGGAGAATTGAATTCATTAAATCCCCCTCCCTGGCTCCCTCCAGCTTCTAGCTCGTCTCTAGCTTCGTAGTGCCTCTGCGCGTGATTCCGCTCCTCTTGGATCCGTTTCAATTAGAACTATCGATTACCATGGTATGGTACTCCGTACTGTGGGTAGGATTGGAATTGCACCTCTTCCAGTCATAGCTATTCGCTTGGCAATGTTGTTTCCCCATACTTAAGTTACAGTAACAAACAAAAAAAGATGGTGTTCTGCCGTAAGCCTCCATGCACGGATCTTCTCCTCAACCACTTATATCCTGACAAGCCCACGTCGGCAAACAACATGCATTCAGCTGCAGCCAATCCCGTATTTCTATATGTCTGTAAGCGTCCGCCTCATGTAACTCGATGCATTCATGATTGGGACTATATCCTGCTGTTAAGCTTGAAAACCTCGTGTTAACCTACACACCGCCGATGAGGTATGGCCCGCCTGCATAAAGGCTTCGATCCATTAAGTTGCCGATACGAGCCTTACAGGCTCCAGCCAAGCAGAGCTGTAGTATGCCCGACTCGATATCCAAAAATGGCATCTCGAGATGCTGATGCCAAGTCGGGCTGATCAGATCAGAGTTTGAACCGTTTACTAGGCGTTTGCCTCGTGCCTCCCCGCGTCCCAACGGACGAATTCGGCGCCGGTACCGTTGTCAGATTTAGGGGATGTATTTTGTGGCCATAACCTCAATGGCTTGATGGCAGATGATGAGGCTATTGAAGCGTCTATAAATCACTTGACACTGACGGGAGGTTCTTGAAAGCAACCATGGACAGTTGCATGCTGGGTAGAAGCCTGTATTCGACACGGGATAGAGATGGAGCTGAAAGTTATTTTTTAGCTTATTCTCAGAAAGTTTACCGGCCCAACCTCCAGAGTCTATGTCTCGCGGGTGACCCCGTAATACTACAGTACATGTAAGGTAGATAGAAGGTAGGCATAGGCTAGCCATGCATCACAGTCGCATCCTCTCATAAGATCCAATCTAAATGATGTGATGAATGAGGGGAATCCATGCAAGTCTCGATTGAATCTGAGATGGATGCGCCAACTTACCAAGGACGAACAAGGCCAATGCTTACGGCGGCTGATTTATCTACATTACTATTTTCAATCAGTGTATGGATGCCATTACCAACAAATTCAATAATTCATCACTAGTCTCTTGACAGACTTGGCAAAAGATCAGCTCGTTATGCGACAAGGTTGTTGTGCTCAACTCTTGCTTACAGCGTCTGCTCTTGCTGTTGATGAATCGAGATCCTCTCCTCGTTTCCATTGTAACTTACAGAAAACTCTGCTGCTCCGATTCATTTGCTGATCGCTTCGACGGTCTGGTTGCATATCGACGGTGTTTCGTCATGATAGCTTAACTCAGCACTGTCGATTTCCAATCCGGGACTGAAACACAATGTGATCGTCATGCCATTTGCCAAAAGGAGTCTCTCTCGGTTCTGTAGATCGGCTTGGCAATTAAGGGTTGACCCTTGTAAGATACCGAGATATGTTACACTGAACCAAAAGAAAAAAAAAAACACCATCAAAGAACTCACAAACTACGGAGGATAAATCCAAGACAGTCTTGCGCGTCAGCCATGCTCACAGACACAATACATACAATGCCGCTTGTCCACAAAATGTCTCATTGAATAGGGCAAACATGTACGTACATACAGATAAAGTAAAGTATCACTTTTTATGGCGCAACGCTAAAAGCAGTCATTGCACAATGTCACGCCTTGTGAACCACCCATCGCATCAATACGATGCTGACCACGCCCCCTCAAGCTTCCGACTCATGCAGGTCCCGGGATACACACCCTGAACTCTGTGTGAAGGCATCATAAGATCCTCTTGCTGCTTACTCCGATCCACTTATGGAAAGAACACGACACGATACACTTTGTATCGTGCTATCAAAGCTCCCTCGTCCATGACAAGCTGTGAGATATCCTCCACTTCTTCTGCTTTGGTGTGACACTCGTGGCCGGTCCTTCATGACCGACGTCTCAGACTTAGAGTACACTCGGACTTAGAGTGATCTCTCCAGCATCACAAGGTCCCGGAAACCTTCCCTCGACCGCTTCGTTTGCTCTGTGTTTGGCCTCGGCAGTGGACTTCGTGCAAAGCCTCCGTAACCCATCCAAGCCTGTAGTCCAGCCTTGACACCGACCACACCGCCCTGGATCGCCGTCCAGTCGCCCTGTGAGACCACCTCCTGCATCTTTTGTGCTTCGGAAACATTACCTTGCAGATAGAGGTCCATGGTCTTGATGCACGCTCTCGGGGCAATGTTGGCCAAGCCTGCCAGGATGCCGTGACCACCTCCGGCCAGAGAAGGGATCAGAAAGTCGGCGGAACCTGCGAGGACAAGGAACTCGGGCGCCTTCGAGTTGTGTTTTGAAAGCTTACGGGTTGCTGCGGCTACCCT